AAAAGAGAGATGTGTATTAATGTGACGAGGCTAAATGTTTTGGTAGCAGGAAGCTCCTTAGGCTGTCAAAAAGTAATCTACAAATTAGCCGCAGCATTGTATAAGCCACAGTGTTTAAAGTATGTGAAAAAAGTAGCAATTTATAGTCCAGAAATTACGGTACTTACCAAAATAATTACTGTATTTGGGGATTGATGAATTGTTTTGAACAGTGACTTTCATCTTTGTGTTTCAGGTACATGGTCACTGTATGTGTAATCACAACACTAAAGGACTGAACTGTGAAAAGTGTCAGGATTTCTACCACGATCTTCCATGGAGACCGGCTGAGGGACAATATACCAATGCCTGCAAGAGTGAGATTCATTCTAGGTCTACGCTAGTTCACACAGGGGCCAAACTGGTTCACAAATGCATCCATACTAGTTCACTCACGGGTTAAAATGGGATTAAAGTCCAAACTGATTCACACAGGGGTCAGCACAGATTTACATGGGCCATACAGTTTCACCATATCAATCCATCTTCAACTACATACCTGTTGTTTGTTCACAAGGCCAACAGTTCTAGAAGGAGCGACTGTGGTTGAATGGTTAGAGCAGTTGTCCTCCAATGCAAGAGTTGGGGTTCGAATCCACCAGCAGTCGCATGCCAAATTATCCCTAGGCAAGACACTGAACCTCTCATTGCCTCTGATGTGTCTCATTCATGTGTATGAATGTAATCTAAAGCACTGATTAGTCTCTTTAGAATGATTTGTTCAATTAGCTTTGTAGAGATGTAGTAGAGTGCCTGCTGTATGAATGGGTAAATGAGGGAACAGATTGTAAAGTGCTTTGAGTGTCTTGATAAGATAGAAAGGCGATATAGAAGTACAGTCCATTTACCATTAACCAAACTTTCCTCTCTCCAACGGTACTGCTCAGCTCTACCTGGAGGTTCCCAAGGTCTTCCCAGGGCAGAGAGAATATATTTAATCCCTACAGCAAGTTTTTGGTCTCCTCCAGTTGTTTCCTGTTAGTGGAACATGTCAAAAATTTCCAAAAGAGGTGTCCAGGAGACATCATAATCAAATGTCTGAACCACCTTAGCTTCTTTGAATGAGAAGAAGGAGCAGATCAAACTCCCCTAGATGACAGAGTTCCTCACCTCATATCTAAGGCTGAGTCCAGCCACCCTACAAAGGAAACTCATTGCAGCCACTTGTATCCTAGCTCTTGTTCTTAGGTTATGATCTATACCTGACCACAAGTGAGTGTTGGAATGTGGACTGATCAGAAACTTAAGAGTTGTTTTCTACTCAACTCTTTCTTCACCATGACAGACCAAAGCATTGTCCTCATTACTGGTGACAAGGTGCCAAGCCGTCAGTCCATCCTACTCCACCCTACCATTACTTGTGAATAAGACTTCTTGATGCTTGAACTCTTCTGCTTAAGGCAGATACTCATCCCTGACCTGGAGAAAGTATTCTATCTTTTTCTGGTTGAGAACCATGGCCATGAATTTAGAGGAGTTAACACAGCCCTGCTGTTTTACACTTGCTACAAACTGCCCAGTGCACACTGAAGGCCATGGCCTGAAGATGCCAACAGGAAGATAAGATAAAATAAATTACATTTGTTTCATGCACAATCACACATGGTATATATGCAGTGAAATGTGTTGTTGTGCCTGTATCTAAAAATCCCCAAAATATAACACATAGGATCAAAAAATGTCCTGATGCATGCTCAGTAATCCAGGTAGATACTGTATATCTACGAGGGTTGTCAGGTCCTTTGGACAAATTCATCCATCCATCCATCCATTTTCTTCCGCTTGTCCGGGGTCGGGTCGCGGGGGTAGCAGCCTAAGTAGGGAGGCCCAGACTTTCCTCTCCCCAGCCACTTGGGCCAGTTCCTCCAGTGGAATCCCAAGGCGTTCCCAGGCCAGCCGAGAAACATAGTCCCTCCAGCGTGTCCTGGGTCATCCTCTGGTCTCTTCCCGGTGGGACGTGCCCGGAACACCTTTCCAGGGACGCGTTCAGGAGGCATTCTAAACAGATGCCCGAGCCACCTCAACTGGCTCTACTTTGAGTCCCTCCTGGATGACCGAGCGTCTCACTCTATCTCTAAGGGAGAGCCCAGACACCCTACGGAAAAAGCTCATTTCAGCCGCCTGTATCCATGATCTTGTTCTTTCGGTCACAACCCAAAGCTCATGACCATAGATGAGGGAAGGAATATAGATTGACCAGTAAATTGAGAGCTTCGCCTTTTGACTCAGCTCTCTCTTCATCACGACTGACTAGTACAGCACCCGCTTCACTGCCGATGCTGCACCTATCCGCCAATCGATTTCACGCTCCATTTTTCCCTCCTTTGTGAACAAGATCCCAAGATACTTAAACTCACCCACTTGAGGCAGGACCTCCTCCTCGACCCGGAGAGGGCACTCTACCCTTTTCCAGCTCAAGACCATGGCCTCAGATTTGAAGGAACTGATCCTCATCCCGGCCGTGTCACACTCGGCTGCGAACCGTTCCAGAGAAAGCTGTAGATCACGACCTGATGAAGCCAATAGGACCATATCATCTGCAAAAAGCAGAGACGCAATCCTAAGGCCACCAAACTGGATCCCCTCAGCACCTTTGCTGCACCTAAAATCTATGTCCATAAAAGTTATGAACAGAATCGGTGACAAAGGGCAACCTTGGCGGAGTCCAACTCTCACTGGGAACGAACCAGACTTACTGTCAGCAATGCGGACCAAGCTCTGACACAGGTCGTACAGGGACCTAACAGCCCGTATCAAAGGACCTGGTACTGCATACTCCTGGAGTACCCCCACAGGGTTCCCCAAGGGAACCCGGACAAACGCTTTCTCCAAGTCCACAAAGCACATGTAGATTGGTTGGGCAAACTCCCATGCACCTTCCAGCACCCTGCTGAGGATGTCGAGCTGGTCCAGTATTCCACGACCAGGACAAAAACCGCACTGCTCCTCTTGAATCCAAGGTTCGACTATCCGACAGACCCTCCTCTCCAGAACTCCTGAATAGACCATACAGGGAGGCTTAAGAGTGTGATCCCCCTGTAGTTGGAACACACCCCTTATTGAATGGGGGGGAACCACCACCCCAGTCTGCCAATCCAGGGGAACTGCCCCTGATGTCCACGCAATATTGCAGAGTTGTGTAAGCCAACACAACCCCACAACATCCAGAGCCTTAAGGAACTCCGGGCGAATCTCATCTGCCCCTGGGGCCCTGCCACCAAGGAGCTTTTTAACCACCTCGGTGACCTCAGTACCAGAGATTGGAGGGCCCGACCCAAAGTCCCCAGGCTCCACTTCCTCAGTGGAAGACGTGCCGGTGGGATTGAGGAGGTCTTCAAAGTATTCTGCCCACTGACC